AGGGTGGAGGGACAGCGCAGGAGGGGAAGACCCTCTATGAGATGGATTGATTCGGTGACTGGGGTAATAGGGATGGGTGTGTCAGAGGCAGTGCAGTTGGCGCAGGATAGAGCAGGGTTTAGGGCTGTTGTGCATAGGATCGCTACGAGTCGCAAATGACTCGACGGCACATAACAACAACAAAAACATCATTAATATCATATACAAGCAAGATTCTGCTGAAAATTATCCAAAAGCAACATCAACAGAGAACTGTCAGATATGTAGGCTGGGTTTAGAAGAGGCCTTGGTACTAGGGTTACTATAGCTAATGTTAGTTAGCTCTTGGCTGAAAGCAGAGTATCTGCCTGCAGTATGTAGTAGAAAGTGTGTTTCTTTTCAAGCTGAGGAAGCAGAGAAATCTTGATGCTTTTCAAACATTTTCACAGTCTTCTCTAGTAGTTAATTAATTTTGGTTTCAAAGATCTCCCTCACATTGTGGGTCTTATAAGGGCAGACAATTTCCTTTTTTAAAAAAATCAATTTTAATGAAAGTTTACAAAGACTTAGGGTTTCCAGTCATTTACGGATGCACTTTTCTCCCTGCCCACTCCCACCCCTCCAATTCACTTTTCTCCTTGGCGAGTAAAAGAAAAACTCTTTGCTATGCAATCCCCCCAAGTCCATTGCACTGTTCAGCCCTCATTCTGGACTCCTGTCATCACAATAATACCTAATCATATATCCCTTTTAAATAGTTCTCTCTTTCATCTGTTACAACACAGTATATATCATTCCTTCCCTTCTTCTCTGTCTTCCCTCAACCCCAGTGTCAGTCCTATTTATAGGCCTAGCAGAGAGAAGATTTCTTTCTAGGAGTAATAATCACCATATTAACAAATGCAGTGAGCAACAGAGTGAAGAAGACAATGGATGAAAGCTACAATATTAAAAATTCACCCAGATATTCAAAAGTTGCTAATCTTCATTTTGAGACTGAAAAGCTTTCTATCTCCTAATATTTTTCAGACTTACCTTTTTAAGAATTGTTTCTAAAGCAGCTTCTCCAGAAGCTTGTCCAGAGATATCCTGGATTTCTTGGCCAAAGTAAAAAACATGCAAATCTGAGAGCTTCTCTAAGGTAAGTGGAACTTCCAGATCCAGTAGAGTGGCATCAACTGTCTGCTCTATCGCTACCCAATGTCTGGGCTTCAAAGTTGGGTTCCTCAAGTTGTTGATAATTGGAAGCTGGAAAACAAAAGCTCTCAGAAACACCATGGGGGCGGGTGTTAATCTTAAAAATAGTCACAGACTTCACATTGGAGCTGTAGATAGCTAGCTCTAGAGAATATCAGTTCCACTCATTGCAAAGAAAAATCTGAACAAACTGGAGAGGTTTCAGGGCAACCAATTAACCCCAAATTTGGGAAAAGATTGGTATTTATAGGGAGAAGCAGGCTCTAAAAACATGCAGACACTTTTGCAATACTACATACACTAGTAGTATGATTAATCTAAAATTTTAAAAATCAATTGTTAAAGAAAGAATGCGGGGTACAATGAGAATGTGAAGTCCCAAGAGCCACAGAAATAGAGGTGTTTATAGAGAAAATTGAGGTGAATACTAAGAAAGTTCTCCTTATCATTCTAGTTGGGGAGGAAACAGCAACCACTGCTGTAATTCTATCCAGAGCTGTCCCCTCCAGCTTCCTTATAGAACAAAAATCTTAACACACAGGAAAAGGGCAACAGAAGCTGTACCTTTAGGGCACTGAAGATTGCTCCCTGGACTTTTACCATGCTGAATGAACTGAATAAAGCTGTCCTAAGCACATCTGGCTGTCTCCATGCTGAAGGGCCAGTATCTGGCCATATCTTCCACAATTTGCCTATCACCACTTGGAAACTCTATTCAAAGTTCTCAGTTGCTCAATTTGATCAGGTGTTGGCAGGAATATATTTCGCACATTAAAAATTAGAATCACTGTATTGTCTCTCTTCTTGGCAAAATTGTTGTTATTGTTGTTATATGCTGTTGAGTTGCCTGCAACTCCTAGCCACCCTATGTACAACAGCTCAGAAGCCTGCCCTGTCCTGAGCCAGTCTCACTGACTCTGACACACTTACCCTCATTGCCTCAGTTACTGTATTTTAAATAGGAGGGTCTCACTGGCATCAAGTTATAACCAACTACACTAGACTTCTTGAAATAATTTCTACAAACCTTACCTTTTCTTTCATTTTTTCCACTTTCTGTTTGAGCTGAGGAACTACACTGTTGGGTGGCAAGCCTTTTTCCAACTGAGCCACAAATTTGGCATATTTAGTAACCTGAGAGTTTAGCATTTCTGGATCCAGAGTGTCAAATTTGGACTATAAAAATGAAAAAAAAATAGAGAGATATACTTTAATTAATAACAATATTTTACTTTAGTAAGATTTCCCTAGCATATAAATTGTTAATTCAAGTCATTCAAATATTTTTGCACATAAAATTTTTAATATTATATTTTTTTTAAAAACCCTCTGAAACTCACTGCTGAGTTTGAACCAGCTCAAAAATACTTTATAGCTGGGCTCCTAGCAGATTTCCAGAAGTTGTCATTAAACAAGAGGAGGTTACTAATCTTTCTTCCTTGGAGTAGTAGCCGCTGATGGATTTGAATTATTTGCCTTTGGGTTGGCAGCACAACTCCTAACTCAGTAGGCCACCAGAACTGGTACCTTCTTTGTATTCTTTTCATGTTTCTTGTCTTCTACATCATCAAATCAGTGATTGGGACAATTGGGATGGGAGTGTCGGAGACAGTGCGATTGGCACAGGACAGAGCAGAGTTTAGGGCTGTTGTACATAGGGTCACTATGAGTCGCAGGCGACTCGACAGCACATAACAACAACAACAACATAGTTTATTCATGAGGGCCAACATTCTAAATGTCTTTTAAGGAGACAGCAAATTTTTATTGTTTAATTCAATAGTCCCTTTTTATTTGATAAGCACACCTTCAATACAAACTTTTAAAATTAATTTTAATGAAAATTTACAGAGACTTTGGATTTCCATTCATTCACTGTTGCACTTTTCTTCCTGCCACCACTCCCCTCCCCAGTTCACTCTTCTCTTTGAAAAGTAAAAGAAAGTTCCCCCATTGTTTTACAATCTCTCCCCCCAGGTCCATTCCACTATGCAGCCTTCATTCTGGACTCTTGTCATGACAATAATACCTAATCACAAACATTTTTAAGGGAGCTCCGGTCTAGTGGCAAGAAGTTGTGCTGCAGTCTCAAAGGCATGCAATTCGAGGCCACCAGCTTCTCCAAGGGAGAAGGATGGGCAATTCCCTCCCATGGGATTAACTACCTCTGAAAACCCTCCAAAGGGTCAGCTATGGGTTGTTTCCATCTGGATGGTACACAACAACCACCCCCACCCCCTATTATACATGTATATATCAATAAATGTATTTATCATGCATATAAACACCTGCTGTGAGGAGCTAACAAATGAATTTCAGTCCATGGCAATTCCTCGTCCTTAGAGTAGAACCCTGAGGTTTTCAAGGCTTCAACTTTTCAGAAACACATCACTAGGCCTGTCTCAGGTGCTTCTGGTGTATCTGAACCACAAACTTTCTGAATAGGTTCAGATATATATTGATCAGTCAGACAGTCATATGAATTTAGAGCAACATGAAATTTTTAAGTCTTCCCTCCCCCTTTTCTTTGCCTAGATTCAGGATTTCTCATCTGCTCCAATAGGTCCTCTTGTGCATTTTCAAGGGTGAATGTTCAACATTTTGGAAGTCACTGTTTTTATCTACAATAACTGGAAAAATCTACAGACTTCTCTCTTGGTTTTTAAGGAACATTTTACTCTTCTGCAACAAGTCAAAGATGACTTAGATGAGAGCCTTTAAAATTCTCTTATATTATAGCCGCTTATTGTTTACTTATTTTGTTTCTCCCACCAAAAGATAATTCCATAGGTCTTTGAGCTTTGTTGTTCATATTCTCCAATGGAATCCACAACACCTGAAGCATTACCTGAGAATTCTTGTGTCACTGCTGTGTAACTTAGATTTGTGACTTCTGAAATTATGTGCAAAACACTATCTGCAAAGTTTATTTCCAAAATGTCCATATTACATCTGAAACTCTGGGTAGTACCCTATTCTCTATCTTCCACAGGGTGGAAGACCCTAACTATGACTGGAATAATAGATCCTTGAAATCTAAGTCTATGGTGGATGTTGGTGCTTTGTTCTCTAATTATTATTGAATTGTCAAGGAAATATAATAAGTCCCATCAGTCTAATTCTACTTTAATAAACTAATTGTCAGAAGAACAAGAAGACAAGAAATCTAAGCTAAGTGAAACTGAAGGTATGTGGAGCTTCAATTCTTAAGAACACTTGGGTGCCTCGTGACAACACTCGTTTTAAGACACCATGAAGGCAGTTCAGTGTCATATAGTGAGGTCTTCTAAGAGTTTTTTCACTTTCTCACTTGGAGGACTCTAGATGCCTGTCTTACAATCATACATTCTGTTCTGCAACTAAGAGTGCTAGTACACCCTTTGCACATTTCTCTGAAAAGCTGACAGTAATTTCCAGAAATTATAACACAACTTTAAATGAAGTAAAATTATAAGTTATATTACTAGGATTTTAATTTTCATGTATATAAAAACTAATTTAAGAATTGACATAATTCTTCAACCTGTAACCATTCTTTTTGAAGGTCATCCCATTCGGAAATCGAATCCCAGAGCAACTGTTTGAGCTTCAATTCGGCACTTACTTCTTCCAAAGCATCAAACTTGGACACTTCAACCTTTAAAAATACAATACATAAGATACACTATTTTAATTTTAGATATCGAGATCTTATTTTATTCCCCTATTAGTAATTTTTGGTTAGTGACTACTTGACCAAACATTGGTCTTAAATGGGGGGAAAAAGAGACAGAAATAAATGAAAGAAAAGAAACTGACATGTGTTACATGTATTTCTTTTTTTAAAAAATTTTTATTTTATATTGGTTTGCTTACAAAGTTCATATACATTGTGTTACACACTATTCTTCATTCACATTTATTTACTACAATAATTCTCATTCATTATGTATTATAAAATTAATTGCAAGAATATGGAAATAGCCCAAATGTCCAACCACAACCAAATGGATTGAGAAATTGTAGCACATTCACACAATGGTATACTACACAGCATTCAGGAGCAATGATTTCGAAAAATACTACTTAAGTTGGGAGAAGCTGGAGAGCATTATGCTGAATGAACTAACTCAGTCTCATAAGGACAAATACTGCAGAAGACCATTATTGTAAAAATAGAAGGATAAGTATTAAAACATGTATGGGAACTCAAGTTGGAGAGGGGAGAGAATAGGAGTGAGAAAGGCTGGTGTGAAACCACAGTGTTGCACAGTTTGTTGGGTGGTGGGAGGGAAGAAGCAAATGGGAAGAATTCAGGTGAAAAGACAAAGTAATGATGGGCAAGGTTCAGTGGTGATTGAGTTTACAAAACATAATGTATGCAAATGAATGCATGAAACATAATGTGAATTTAAAAAAATAAAGAAGTTATTTTCCTGAAAAGAGCTGAAGAATTCCTTACCTGAGAGTTGAGGGAATTTCTAGGATGTTGGTTATTAAGAAATTGAGAAGTTCTGTGATCCGTCAGACAGAGCTTTGCCAATAGAGACTTAGCCCGAAGTCCTCCCTAAGGTTTATGTTGCTTTTGGTTGTCACCGAGTTGACTACAACTCATAGCGACCCTATGTACAAATCTGAACTATAACCTATCCTGCACTATCCTCATTCAAATGATCACCATGATTGTATGGGATCTTAGTCAATCAGACTGCTCTGAAATGGTTGGGAACTACAGAAGGAAGGTGGGATCTGAGGTAAGAAAGATAATTGCACAGGAAATTGCCCATCCCTCTCCCATAGAGCAGCTGGTGGATTTGAATGGCATGCCTTAAGGATTGCAGTGCAACTTCTTACCCGGAGGCTACTAGAACTTCTTAAGATGTAAGTACTAATCTTTAGACACTTGGAAGGCAGGGAGAGGCTCACATATTGTGTTTCAGGCAGTTTCTACACTGTTATTAGCATAGCAATGTCCAACACTGGACATTTATAGTCACAGTGTGAACATGCTTGTGTATGAACTCCACTTTTCATGCACATATATTAAACTTAAACATAGAGAGCTGACATTACCTTGAAATTCTTCTGGTATGTTTTGTACTGAAATGCACGTTTTTGAAGATCATCAACAATGACTTGCATATCACTCAGCATGCTCTTTATTTTGGATTGGTCAGCAGTAATATCCAAAATCTGCGGATCCTGTAAAATTAAGATAATTTTGGGTAACTCCTATTTTTTACATTGAACAATTAAAGTTAAAGAATGAATAAAGAATATTTTTTGAATAAAGAATATTAAAAAATTTTCCAACTCTCCTTTTATTCTTATATGTTATAAAAGTACAGAAATATTTAAAGAAGTGGCATGGGAATCAGAATGTTTTAAAATGGTATCCAATTGCATTGGGAAAGTCGGCTGTCAGGGACTTCTCCAGAGTACTGAAAAGCAACAACATCAGTCTGGAGACTACGTACACCAGATTTTTGCAATTGCTTGCTATGCATCAGTCAAAGAGCTGAACAATGACTACAGATGATAGAAAGAGGACTGAGGCCTTTGGGCTGTGGTGCTGGAGAAGAGTGTTGAATATGCCGTGGACTGCCAAGAGAATAAACAGGTTCGTTCCAGAGAGGCTGAAACCAGGCTGCTCCTTGAAGGCAAGGATTCTGAGGCTCCGTGTGACATACTTTGGGCATGTTGCAAGGAGGGACCAGTCCTTGGAGAGGGACCTCACGCTTGGAAGGGTGGAGGGACAGAGAAGAAAAGAAAGACCATCAATATGATGGATTGATTCAGTGACTGGGGTAAAGAAAGTAGGTGTGTCAGAGACAGTAAAGTTGGCATAGGATAGAGCAGATTTCATAGTACATAGGTTTGCTATGAGTAAGTAGCAAGTGACTTGAAGGCACAGAACAACAACAACAAGGTATTTTCTCTCATCTTCTGTTCTTTCTTACACTTCAAGTTATCTGACCTTGTGGAAGGAGAGATAATTGTGACAGTGAAGAGAAAGAAGAGGATAAACAGTAAGGAAAATTTCCATTTTACAAAAAGGGGGAGTTAAATTTTAATTCCCATAGGAGGGCAAGAGAAAATGAAGACTATGTGAAATACATTTTCAGAATGATCTGTTGGAATTGAAATGTGAGTGAATATGAATGGAGTTGTTCAAGATGACAGTGGAAACCCTTGACAATGGCTGGGAGCATGTGATACTACCGTAATCACATCCTAAGTGGCCATTCCATCTCTGGCTCGGCATGGTCCTGTATTCAAAATGCCAGTATGATTCTGGAAGTAGGAATTGCTGAGAAGATGCTTGCGTGTGCACATGAATATGTATGCCTATGAGTGTGTGAGTGTGTGTACACATATACCCCAAACTAGGAAAGAAAGAAGAGCCTCAGGCCAGGAAAGAAAGGCCCGGACCTTGTGATACAACTTATTGGCAGGGATGGTGGACTGTGGCCCAAGGCAAAGGTAGCCCTGGGTGCTTACTTATCAAGGACTCTAGTGAACAGCTCCTGGGGCCACTGAGATGAAGCCCAGATGAACTGCACTGTAAGTGGCTCTGTCCTGAAGGGCGGCTTGAGGACCACACTCCCACCTATCCCCTCTAGCCAAAGGAGGCAATGCAGCATATGGTATGGGGGCCAGAGAGGGAGAGGATTGGAGCAAAGATTGCAAGGTCTCTTAAGGGCAAAGAAATGTTTGATAGGGACTTTAGATTTGGAATGAAATGAAATATCTATCCATGAGATGAAATTAGAATAAACAGCTATTTTAGGAATTAGCTGAGTTATGACCATTTTAAAACTTACAGCTTTGTTTGTTGTTCCACCAATCAGAGTCTTAATAGCTAGATTGCATTTTTATGGAAAAAAGAAAGTTGCAGTTCATTGCTCAGTGATGATAGTAAATTAATTTCAAACTCCCCACAGAACTATTTGTAATCCCACAGGGGATAGATAATCCTTCCTATTATTTCTGTATAGGTGTATCATGCTTTTTGAAACATGTGATTTGAAATATACCACTTAATGGCATGTTTTTCTTTCTCTACCAATTTGTAGATGTGCTGCCATTGAGGCAATTCCAACTCCTGGTAACTCTCCTTTGGGTTTTCAACTCTATAAGTCTTATGGGAGAAGATTGCCCATCTTTCTCCTATGGAGCATCTGGAGGATTTGAACTGCTGATCTTTTGGTTAGCATCCCTGCATATTATGTACTATGTCAGCAGCGCTCCTTAGTGATCTACCTATCTACACATACTACTCTGAAGCAAATAATCATTATTCCTACTTTTTATTCATAAACAGCTTGCTAGGTATCTAAAAGAGCATATACTACAGCAATTCATGTTACATGTTGTTGTTGTGGATTGTCACATCAGATTCTACCCATAGCTGACCCTCTAGTGGATTTTCAGAGGCAGTTGATCATATGGGAGAAGACTGCCAATCCTTCTCCCATGGAGCAGCTGGTGGATTTGAACCACATACCTCCAGGATTGCTGCACAGCTTCTTGCCACTAGGCTACCTGTGCTCCCTGTAATTCACAGTAGACTATCATTCCCTGGGAGTTAACTGCTTGGGTCCTCCATTTGTTACCTGTGTGACCCTGGGCAAGTTATTTAACTTCCCTTTACAAAATAACAAACAAATCTGTCCTGGAGAAATTGAAACCACAGTGTGGAGCCAAAGGTGGTGAAACCTTGTCTCACATACTTTGGGTATATTGAAAGGACGGGCCAGGAGCAGGGAAAGACATCATGCTTGGTAAGGTGGAGGGTCAGTGAAAAAGAGAAAGACCTTCTACAAGGTAGATAGACATGGTGACTATAAGAGTGGCTTCAGGCATATCAGAGATGGCAAGGATGGCACAGGATGGGGAGAAGTTCAGATTTGTTGTTCATAGGGTCACTCTGAGTGGTAGTTGACCCAATAACACTTAACAACATATTTTAGTTGTCTTCTCCAGAAAGCATGAATAACAAAACCCCATGGGTGTTTTGCTGGTTGGTTTTTTTTAACAATTTCTTTAAAACATAATAGTATATAAAAAACTAAGAAAAGGTTTACATAGAGAATCACTCTTATCAAGGATGGACACACTAAAAATTATTAAACAGATAATATGCACATATTAAAATGGGTGAGAGAAAGGCAGTATCTACAAGGGTACAATCAGCACAGTATCATTAAAGAAAGAGAAGACACAACAGATATAGAAGGATTAATGGAAAACACAAACAAAACTAATTAAAATAATTTTTAAAGTACAACAGTCAAATGTTGTATACATTTTCACTTACCTGTGCTTGCAGCTTTATTTCATTTACTTCATTGTTTAACTCTTCCAGATCTTTACCCAAATGCTGACAGAACTGCTTGATGCTTGCATCTCTGTCACCCACTGATTTATCAATGGCGTTTCGAACAGCAATAATGGATGGTTTCATAGTTGCAAAAACAGCAAAGTCTTCAGGAGGTGTGGGAACCTGATATTGCTCAATAAGCTTGTACATCTGAACCACTACATTGGATTCATCTTCAAGGGTTTCAATCTAGATAGAAATATTGATTGCTCATTAAAAGCAGCAGAGCCCTGTCAAACTCTTGCTTTAATAGGAGGAGGTCACTGTGTACCACCAATGTTAAACAACGAATAGTAAATATATGGGGGAAGGCATTTACTGAGATGATCAAGCCGGCTAAAGCCTGCTGGATGGTGACCCTCTGGTCAATGTTATAATGTGGGCCACCAGGCTGACGAGATAGTGTGTCCACAGCTATGCCCAGTTAGTACTATTTTTGTTTATTTTTACTTCTCTAAATTAAAAACCAAACCCATTGTAATCAAGTTAGTGCTGGCACATGGTGACCTTCCATTACATTTTGAGGCTGCAAATCTTTATGGAAAGAGACTACCCATGTTTCTCCCATGGAATCACTGGCGCTTTTGAACTGTTGACATTTAGGCTAGCAGTTCAACACACAGCATGCTCCATTACTCTCTTTTTATTCTCCAGTAGGATTTAATCAGTGCCAGTACTCAGAATTTCCAGCAATACTGTATCCTTGAGAGGTCCCAGAGTGGTTCCCAAGGTGTGCAGAGTCTATGTTCTTCACGACATTGTTCAGAACACTGGTGACGGCTCCTTCAGAGAATTTGTGACATTTCCTGTATCTTTTCATATTTTTAAAATATATCTGACTGACTGCTACACATATTTATTTGACACATTTGGAGTAGACAGTGTATTTCTTGTCACTCCTAACTGTCTACTGATTCTCCATTTTGGAGGAGACCCCTCCCCACCACAGCCACATGTAATAGAGGGAGCAGCCATGGTGCACAATTTAATCAAATCTCCTGGCCATAGTTAAACCAAAGGGCATCAAACAGAGACCTAGAGAACCCGTGTCTGTCTAGATTCCTCTCTTCCACATGAGAAGTGTTAGACTCCAGCTATTGGCAGAGGCTATGAGAAAACAAAGTGGGTTCTCAGCACAAAAATATAGGGGTTCCAAACTTTGCTTGATAATCACCTGGAAAGATGATTTAATATGGGCTGCTGATCTCAGTTTCTAGTTCAGCTGGTCTGGAGTACAGTCAGAATTCTGCTCTCTAACCACCTTCCAGGTGATGGGGATACTGCTGGGTTGGGGACCACATTTTGAAAACTATCATTCTAGAGAAGCACAAAAAGCATTCTTGGTTTCTTTATGCTGCACTAGTCCTAGTTTCTGTCCTTTTAAAAAACTGGGCTCTATTAATTCTTTTTAATTGCAGATATCCCTTTATGGTACAATCTTCCTACTTTTCTATGTCAGCTACATGAATTTTTTCTACTTTCAATCAAATGTACCTTAATATCTCAGACAAAATTATAACGAAAACTAATTCTCTCTTTCTCTGTTTCTTTTTCTGTATTTCTGGACTTGTGTACGTGCCCAGGTTTTTCTGGAAGTGTCCTAGTTAACTCTCATGGTCCTGGCATAACTACTCTCAAAATGATCCTAGCTAGACTTCAACCTTTTCTCCATTTATCAACATGGTTGTTCATTGGTACAGCTGAGGATTTTTATTTTCTTTATGTTTAGATGTAACCCATTCCCAAAGACCTTTTATCTTCAATAGTAAATGCTTCAAGCCTTTCTTGCTTTCTCCAAGGTTATGCCATCTGTACATCACAGGTTGTTAATAAGTCTTCCTCCAGTCCTGATTCCTTTCATAAAGTTTAGTTTCTCAGATTATTTTCTCAGCATAAAAATTGAATAAATGGACTAAGTATGGTGAAAGGATATAACTTTGACACACATATTTTTTTAATTTAAACCATGAAGTATTCACTTGTTCTGCTCAAATGACTACCTCTTATTTGACATACAGGTTCAGTATGAGCATAAGGTAAAATCCTCTTTCCACCAGATGCTCTACCGGGGAAGGAGGGACAATGTCCTCCTGTACCAGTCAGATCTGATTTGACACTACACTCACACACAAAATAATAAAATAAAAAAGATAAAATCCTCTGGAATTCCAAATTTGTACAATATTACCCACATTTTTTATGAGCCACAGGGTCAAATGGATTTGGACAGATAGACATCACTGTCCGCTTTCAGTTAGAGCCTTTGACATAGCACTGATGTCCCTCATTGTACATCCTCATCACAATCTGGCTTGTCTTCTGCTAGTTTCCTTTGAATGTACTTCTGCAACCACTTTTGAATTATCTTCAAGAACACGTTCTTATTTGTGATATTAATTCTATTGTTCCATAATTACTGCATTCTGTTGTATCACTTTTCGTTCTCTGGAATGGGAAACAAATATGAATCTCTTCCACTCAATTGGCCAAATGGCTCTTTTCCAAACTTTTTGGCTATGATAAGAATGCTTCAACACTGCATCTGGTTGTTAAATATCCAAACAGATACTCCACCTACTACTATAGCTTTGTTTTACCAATGTTTTGTTTTTGTGAGAGAAACTTAAGATTTCTTCCTTTAACGCTATGTCAGTTCTGGATTGTGTGTTGCTTCCTAAAATGGCTGAATATTGACTCATTTTTTTTTGGCACAGTGACTTTGTGTATTCCTTCCATCTTCTTTTGCGGTTTCTTATATTACTCAATATTTTTCCCCATAGAAACCTTCAATCATGCAACTTAAGTCCTGAAATTTTTTGTTCAGTTCTCTCAGCTTGAGAAATGTCAAGCATGTTGTTCCCTTTTGGTTTTTAACACACTTCATTATGATGCTTACTTTGTCTTTTCAAGCTGTCCTATTAAATCATCTGTTAAGTTCTTTTACTTCAACTCACTTGATATACTCTGCATTAGAAGAACACTTTTCAGAGTCTCTTCTGGAATCCATTGGCACTTCTTTATTTTTATGACCTTTTAATATCTTCATATATGATGTTCTTGATGTCATCCCACAACTCTTGTTGTCTTCAGTCATTAATTTTCAATATGTCAAATTTTTCTTGAGGTGATCTGTAAACATGGGTTGGACATATTTAATATGATAAGTTGGCTCTTGTGAACCTGTGTTTTTTGTGGGCTTGTTTCAATTTCTTTAAATTTACCTCAAAATTGCATATGAACATGCCCCAGAGAGTAGGCTCTTTGCCTTGCTCTGATTATATGAACTTCCCCATAGTCCCTTTTCAGAGACATAGTCAACTATTTTCTTGATCTTAGTAAACATAAATAATAACAAATTGTTGACATATTTGGAGTCCTGAGATAACATACAAGCAGATCTTCTTTGGCTTTGAGAAAAACTTACAAAAATATTTGGCCTCTTGAGAAGAAGGTGCTGTTCTTGAAAGTAGAGGGAACACTGCCACTTTTCTAGGTATGCGAAACAACCTTCAGCATTAACTTTGCTAACAATGTATAATAGACCTCTGGTGCCCTAGTGGCAAGAAGTTGTGCTGCAATCCCAAAGGCATGGGATTCAAATGGACCAGGGGCTCCATGGGAGAAAGGTGGACAACTTCCTCCCGTGTGATTTACTGCTTCTGGAAACCCACTAGAGGGTCAGCTACGAGTTTGTTCTGACTCAAATACACACAACAGCTACTCAATTATTAATACCTTGTCTCATTTAGTTTGTATTATTCATTTGAAATAATTTCCAGGTATTTAAGAACACAATTTTTCTCTACCTCAAATATTGAATGCCATCTTGATATGAGTGAAAACTGACCATTGAAGTGTAATGCTTAGCTACCTGTCATAGAAGCAAGGCTAAGGGAGGGTGGGGGATAGTTTCCAGAGAGAAAGAAGCAAGAGAGACAAGGGAGTGAAAGGGAAAGAGAGAGAGAGAGAGAGTTAGTTGACCACATTATTTGTTATTAGAAACCTTGGTTCTGCTTGCCCATTACTTCTCTACTTTATGTAGTGTGAACAGAGCTGCCTTCATTTAAAAAAGAAATACATACTTTTACTGACTATTCAAAGGTTAAAGACATCCATTATAATTTATAACCAGATTCCAATTCTACTCCAGTAAATACAAATAAGAAATGTAGTCAACAACAGCTGAGAACAGATATCCAAATTGCAAAGCCTTCTCTACCACACACAAGTACTGTGATCTTGGGAAACATTACCTTGTTTTAGTCCTTTTGTGGAATGAGGCTAAATATGGCCACACTTTTCAAGTTATTGTGAAGAATAAAAATGCAATGCATATAAAAAGTCACAACTCTTGATTTTTACTAAATTTGACGTTAGCCATCACCAAGCAATAACCAACTTTGTTGAAAATGTTATTGAGACAGTGGTAGCTATTTTCTGATCTTTAGCCCCTCTAGCCCTCACTCTGTCTTGTCATGTCCCTCTCTTACCCAGCATGACCCTCTGAGGAGCCCTGAAGAGGGCTCTGACTCACGGCAACACTACATACAGAAGGGAGCCTGCCTGATTCTCGATATCTTCACTACGTTTGCAGTGTTTAAGCCCATGGTTGCAGTTCAATTCAGTTGACAGTCTTAATGTCTGGAAATCTGAGTTACATAGTATCACCAACTCACCCTTTCCTGAATTTCATCAAGAAACACTAAGCTATTAACATATTCTATGGTGGTAGTTGGAACAAACTCAAGTTTATACTCTGCATCTTGTGCCTCAGAGATAATGGTATCCACTTTTTTCTTGCTTTGAAGAGGAAGCATAAAATTTAACACCTATGAAAGAGAAAATATAATTTAGAAACAAGTAAAAGTTTTCCTTTTACAAAGTTTATAGACATCCTAAGGGCACATTTATATGCATTCTAATTGGAAATCATCAAGCATTAAAAACACAGTGAATGTTAAGGGATTTTCCTCCCATTAAGCCACTGCTAATCTGATTTGATAAAACCAAACTCACTGTTGTTTCATTTCTAAGGCTGTAAATCTTTATGGGAAGAGACTTTGTATCTTTTCTCACTGAGTAGCTGGTGGATTCAAATCGCTGAGCTTTCTATTACTTCATCAGGGCTCCTTAATCATTCAATTGTTGTTGTTGTTCTTAAGAGTCTTTGAGTCAAGCAAGTCTCAGAGAGACCTTATGAACAACAGACCTGCACCCTATCTTATTCTTGTGCCACCCACCATTATCTCTGACATACTGGAGCCCATTGCTGCAGTCACTGTGTCAATCTATCTCACTGAGGGTCTTATTTTTTGCCTACCCTTTACCTTTCCAAGCACGATGTCCCTTTCCAAGAAATAGCCTCTCTTAACAACATTCCCAAAGTATGTGAGACAAAACTTCACCATCTTTGTCTCCAAGAAGTACTTTGGTTGAACTTTCTCCAAGACATCATATCTGTTCTTTTATTTTTAAGATAATGGGTTACTCAGTACTTTTTTCCAGCTGTTGTTGTTGTTAGGTGCCACTGAATTGAGTACGACTCAGAGTGACCTTATCAACAGCAGCTCTGAACCCTGTCCTATCCCGTGCCATCCTCATACTTCCTGACATACAAGAGCTATCTGCAGCAGTCACTGTGTCAATCCACCTGGTTGAGAGTCGTCCTTTCTTTCACTGACCCTCCACCCTACCAAGCATTATGTCCCTCTCCAAGGAATAGCCCCTCCTAACAACATGTCCAAAATATGTGTGGCAAAGCCTCATCATTCTTGTCTCCAAAGAGCACTCTGGCTGCACCCTCTCCAGGACATATTTGTTCTTTTGGCCGTCCATGGGATGTTCAGTGCTCTTCTCCAACACCATAGCTCAAAAGCATCACTTCTTTGTCTTTTGTCAAACTTATTCATTTTCTGGCTCTGAGATAATAGCAAAGGATTAAAAAGACTATAGTTTGAACCTGGTGCACCTTAGTTTTTAAACTGACATCTTTGCTTGTCAGCACTTCGCAGAGGTCCCTGGCAGCAGGCTTTCACAGTGCAATACATCTGATCTCCTGACTGCTGGTACCAAGAGTGTTCATTGTTGATCCAAATAAGATGAAATTATTGACAATTTCAATCTTTTGTCCACCTTTCATGATGTTGTCTATTGGTCCAGTGGTGAGATTTTTGTTTTCTTGATGTTGAGATGTAACCCTTATTGAAGGCTATAGTCTTTGACTATATATAGCAAGTGCTTCATGTCCTCACTTTCAGCAAGCGAAGTTGTGTTATTTGCATAATGCAGTTTGTTAAAGGGGCTTCCTCTGATTACTTGTCATAGAATCTATCCTCTTGAATGACTTGTTCAATATAAAGATCGAATAAGTATGGAGAAAAGACACAACCCAAAAAGTAGCTTTTTATTAAATTTTTTAAAAAATATTATATATTAGTTTACTTGCAAAATTCATACACATTGTGTTTCACGGTTTCTTCATTTTAAACCATTCAGTTGGCCCCTTATTCAGATAGCAGCTTCTTAACTCTAGATATAGGTTTCATATGAAAGTAATTAAGTGTTCTGGAATTCTCATTCTTCTCAATGTTGGCTATAATTTTTTTATGATCCACATAATCAAATGCCTTTGCATAGTCAATACAACACAAATAGGCATTCTTCTGGTATCCTCAGCTTTCAGCAAGGATTCATCTTACATCAGTAGTGATATCCTTCAAGCCATGACCACTTCTAAACCCAGTTTGAAATTCTGGCAATTCTCTGCCAATGTACTTGCTTTAGCTACTTTTGGGTGACCTTCAGTAATTTTGCTTGCATATAGTAGCAATGATATTGTTCAATAATTGCTCCACATTCTATTAAATCATCTTTCTTTGGAATGGGAACCAATATTGATCTCTTCCAGAAGATCTCTTCAAGAAGTTACCCTCTAAATTTCCTAGCATAGACTGGTGACCACATCCAGGGCTGCATCTGTTAGTTGAAGCATGTCAGTTTGTGTCACTGAATGCTGTTTTTGTTGTTGACTCTCCCAGTTTAAAACAAGCTTGGAAGCAGGAGTGGCATTCACTTCCATAATATCTTGCCTCTGGAAACCCTATGAATCTGGAGAAAGGTCGAAAGTTATACAGAAAATGTCCAGGACTTTCATTCATAGGGTCGCCTGTGACTCAATGGCCCTTAACAACAGTTATTAGTAAGATGAATGTAATGGGGAGAAATTAACAATATAAATGGACAAAATATAACATAAATGAAAGACTGTATAAACACAATGCATGAAACAAAGTGTATATGAATGATAAAAATAGTAGTAAAAATAATAAAGCTGTAATTAAATGTAGAAAGAGATTACAAAACAATTTTGTAAAAATTCACATAGTACAAGAAATGCTACACTTAAGTAATTTACAACTCTAATTAGCACACTTTAGCTGCAAAATTTTTCTGTTGTTCATAGGGTTGCACTGAGTCTTAGTTTACTTAGTCGCATATAGTAAGTTAATGTGATAATAAACACTGCAAAATACTCTGTAAGGGAGGTCATTGGAGTGGCAGATGGGAAGAGATGGCACTATGAGTTTCTGTACTGGGCAACACCAACAACACTAGTGACAGCACTGTCCTCATGCTCTTAACATGTGCATGCATTAGGGCTGACCTCTGATGTCAGTCAATGCAGGTAGGTATCCAAGACTTTTCTTTAATTCTAAATGAGAGTTGTGTGTTCAGAATCTCATTCTCCCTTTTAGTTCTACTTACAAACAAGGATATAATTAGCTTTTGGAAGTGTCTATACACATGTCATTTAATATCCCTCAATGCCAAATCTGTTTTTCATTGCCTTCTCTGGCTCCTGAAATATTATTTCTTCCTCAGCTGTTGGGAGATGATCCCCTTCCTAGTTGTAGTGTTGGCTTAATTGTTGCATGCTTACTTGGTGGCTGCTACATGTGGTCTCTGGTGCCAGGCCATGGCACAAAGGAGCTCAGATGGGGTAGTCCAAAGCATGTTGCTCTGCTAGCCAAGACACAAGTTTTTGGCAGTTCAAATCTACCAGCACCTCCCCACGAGAATATGGAAGGCCCCATTCATTGAGATTTATAGGCTCCAAAACTTGATGGAGGGTAATTATTTAGGAGTTTGAGGGAGTTTGTTTTAATTTTATTATTTTGTTTTCACGAATCATTCATGTATATTCTGTTCCACAACATGAATTACAATACACACAATAAGGGGTTATTGGGGGCTTTTTTATTCTGAACTACAGATCGTCCCTGACTTGGGACAAGAACTTTGTTCTAACTTGGTTTTGATAGAAATTAAATATGTCTTATTAATATTTTTAATCTTCATTATGAGTGCCTTTTACTATTTGGTATTTTTAAATATCTGATCTCTGAACATTTGAGAGTAGACATCCAAGAAAATAAGATCAAGAAACTACATGCATATATGTTGTTGTTGTTGTTGATTGCCTTTGTGTCGAGCACAACTCATAGCAACCCAATGAATAAAAGCCTTGAAGCCCCTCTACAATTATCAACATTTCTCAAAGTTCTTATATAGTACAAATAATTAATGATATAATATCCCAAACCAAATTCTGCTCTTAAGTTGATAATCAACTCACAACGACCCTTCATCAGGTTTCTGATGCTATAAACCCTTGAGAGGAGACTATATTAATGATATTGGTGTTGTATATCATCTAAGTTGGAACTGACTTATAGCTGACTTTCCAGAAGGTTTGCAAAGGCAATAAATTGCACCAGAGGAGAGTTCCCATCTTTCTCCCACAGAGCAGCTACTGGATTCAAAATCATGTGCCTTTGGGTTGGAAGTGCAACTCCTTATCATTAAGCTAACAGAGCTCCCTATATTAATGATAAGATGTATGAAAGGCAAAAACAAAAAAGATGGCCATAAGTACAGTTTTCCCAACTCAAATACATTGACCACTACCTGGAGTCAACTCTGTCTTTGTAATGAGAAAGTATGTGTAAACTTTGTGCATACAAATAAAAAAGAATTATATATGAAACAAATGGTAGGCTGGACTGTGCCTGTAGAATATAGTTTGCTGACTACTTTCCTATTCTTTCTCTCTCTGAAGTATCTGAGGGCTATACATAATCTGCATTCAAAGAAAAACATGAAAGTTATTGTACAAATAGTGAACATTTCTCTAGTTCTAAAGCTCACCAAAACATAATTAAACCTTCATGGGCATGACCAGGGCAGGGAATGACCTAAACTTGATCTCTTAAGCTAGAATCAACCAAAATCCCCATGCACCAGATTGGATGTGGCTAAGTGTCTGAAACCCAGTTAGTGTACTAAACTGTGGGTTCTCTTTTGCAGGAAGCCTTGAAACATCTCAACAGAAGGTAAAGGAGAGGAAGGAATAGATTAAGCTGAAGCCTGCAGACCCTTCTCTTCCTTCATCTGAAAATCGACTCTCCTCAAGGCAGAAAGAAGAATACGGGAATTTTTCTAGAAATTAAGGAGAATCAGTAGCCTTACATGAGTTTTAAATACAGAGGGGTATTATTAAAGTTATAAAATAATAAAAGAATTGCAAAAGACCATAATAAAAGCATTTCCTACTTCCTATTTACCTCCAAGCACCGCAAAGGTGATGGGATTAGTTTTTCTTTTAGCAGCTTAGTGTCAATGAGCAGCAGTCCTACATTTCTGGTGGGTTTTAGAGCCACTGCATCCTTGTGCTGCTTGTGATACTTTTCCAGTTGTTCACTAAAGAATTGAACATCTGCATAATTTACACAAAGCATAAAATATATTATTGACAATTTTAAAGGGTCAATGCAAAACCTTTAAAAATCATTACATCAATAAACTTGAACATGCATTTATAATATTCAATGTTGCCCATTGTTAAACTTACCTTGTAAAACTCTAAAATGTTACTACTGCAATGAAAGAGTATTATTGCACCAGCTCCTATCATGATTCAAATCCACCAGTTGCTCTGAGGGAGAAAGATAGAAAATCTCCTCCAGCATGATTTATAGCCACTGAGAACCTACTGGAGAGTTATCTATGAGTTGGTTCCAACTCAACAGTATATAAAATCTTCTTAAGAAATAAAGAGTGGATAGATAATGAACACTGCATTAGAACAGATAAGGGGAAGAACTGTTGAAAGGAATGGATGGTGATGAATTATATGTATGACAAGTGGTGCACTGCAGGGTAGGCTAGGGGAGGAGGAGGGAGGGAGGAGAGAAAATGTGCAACAATGAATAAATAAAAGAGGGGAGAAAGAAATAACAGATAAAACCAACACGTAAGCTTTATAGTTGCATTGGAGAATTTAGTCTGGACTGGATCAGTTATTAGAGTTAGGTTTGTTTGAATTAGGCTCAATCAAGAGGGTCTTTGATGTACATGATACATCAAATAAAAGCACTTGAGAATACTGACAACAGCAACAAACAACTCTAGAAACACAGGCAGTCTAGCATAGCTGAAATGATCTCCATGGTCGTTCTCAGTGCTTCTCTAGCATATCTGCTCTCTGTTGAGGCTTTGATCTTCCTGCACCTGGCAAATGTTGCCACTGGATTTTTAACATCTTCCTGTCTCTCCTCATTCTTATTCAACCCACCTAGTACCAGGCAAAACAAAATTACCCTTTTTAAAAAAAATTTATTTTTTATATTGGTTTGCATGCATTTTGTTTCACACTACTCTTCATTCATATTATTTCCGTGCATTGTTGTTGTTGTTATGTGCCGTCAAGTCGCTTGCGACTCATATCGACCCTATGTACAACAGCCCTAACTAAACTCTGCTC